AATCCAAATTAAAATCACAATGATCACTACAAAGATGTTGAGCAAATGGAATTTTTATATATGGTTGATAACAAATCAGTTTCTCATTAAGCTAAATATACATTTACCATATGAACCTTAATTAATCCAAGAGAAAATAAAACTCAATTCAAAGCACCCACAAATAGAAAGACCCCAAGTATCAATTAACACGTAAGTTGACCTCACAGAAGTAGAGAGTAAACAGAGGTTATAGAGCCTGAGAAACAGGGAAGGGGAGGGTGATTAACCAGTAAAGGGCTGCAGCTGGGCAAGGAACCAACTTCTAATGCTTCACAGCAGAGTAACATCACTGGGACTGACAACTAGCTGTACTTCTCAAACTACTAATGGACCTCCCAAGTGCTGGGATTAAAGGTGTGTGCCACCACGCCTGGCTGAGTATTTTGAATACTCCCAGCACAGAAAAGATGACTGAAGTGACAGATAAACCAACTGACCTTATCTGATTATTACACTTTGGATATCTCTATGAAAGGCACAACTGTACCCCACAAATACAATTTCCAGGTATGGTGCACACCTTTAGTCCCAGTATTCAGGAGGTAGAGGCAGTGGGTGGTCTGTGAGTTCAAGGCCAGCCTGATCTATATAGCGAGCTCCAGGCCAGTTGGGGCTACAGGGAGACCCTGTCTCAAAAATGATGCCTATGGTCTCATCCACCTAGCTATTTTTAGCCAGGCATAGTAGTGCACACCTGTAATTCTAATTCTGGAGGTAGAGAGGCAGGAAGATCAATGAGTTCAAAGTCAGCCTGGGTTATAGTGAGTTCAAGGCAAACCTGCATCATATTAATACGCCCTATGTAGAAGACCAAGGGCAGGGTAAGAAATAGCTCAGTGTGATAAGAGCACTTGTATAATATGCACAAGGTGCTGGGTCAATCCCCAGGACAAGATAACTTTATAAAATATTCTTATAATTTATCCATCATCAAGCTATAAAAATACTAGGAATTACTATTACCTCTGCGGTACATCAGTGAATACAACATAAAGAACTTTTGAGTTTGGGGCTGGAAAGACGGCTCAGTGGTTAAGTGCACTGGCTGCTCTTACAGAGGACTGAGGTTCGACTTCCAGCCAGGGCAGCTGGAGCTATAGGGAGCCTATGCTGGACAGGTTTGGTGTCAATTTGACACACGTGGGTTGAGGGAGCCTCAATTGGGGAATTGCCTTCATTGGACTGGCCTGTGGCCATGTCCACTGAGTACCTTCTTGACTGTCGAGTGATGTGGGAGGGCCCAGCCCACTGTGGGTGGTGCCACCCCTGGGCAGGTGGGCCTGTGTTGCATAAGAAAGCAGGCTGAGCAGGGGCCAGGGGAGCAAGACTGTAAGCAGTATTCCTCCATGGCCTGTTCTCCAGCTCCTGCTTCCAGGTTCCTGCCCTGCGTTCCTACCTTGGGCTCCCTGATGAACTGTGACCTGGGAGATGTAAGCTGAATAAACTCTTTCCTCCCCGAGTTGGTATTGGTCAGAGTATTTTGTCACAGCAATGGAGAAGCAAACTAGGACAGAGCCCGTATCTCAAAAAGACCAAAAAAAGAAAGAAAAAAAGAGAGAGAGAGAGAAAGAGAGAGAATTTCTAGTTCCCTGTCTAGAACTTGTAATGGTAATTACTCTTGCCTTTACTTCTCCGAAAGAAAGAAAGAAAGAAAGAAAGAAAGAAAGAAAGAAGAAAGAAAGAAAGAAAGAAAGAAAGAAAGAAAGAAAGAAAGAAAGAAAGAAAGAAAGAAAGAAAGAAAGAAAATGATGCCTATGGTCTAACCCACTTAGCTATTTTCAGCCAGGCATGGTGGTGCACACCTGTAATTGTAATTCTGGAGGTAGCCAAAAATGCGTAGCCAACAACCATCTGTAACTCCAGTTCCAGGGGATCAGAGGCCCTCTTCTGACCTCCACCAGCACTGCACAACATAGGTGCATTTACATGCAGGCAATATAGTCAAACACATAAAAATAGTAAAATATATTAAAAAAAAGAGTTCCAAGAGGTGATTCTAATAGCAAAATACATGGTATGTTAGATAAAAGCAGGGAAGATGGAAGTTCGCAGTGATAGACAGCGTAACAACTCTCATTTCTTACCTCAAAACCCTTAAATGTCTTTACAGTAACACCAGATACCCAGACCTCTAGGTCTAGAGACTTTTATTTAGGATGGGAGTCAGGGAATCTGCATTAAAACACACACCAGCAGACTCTGATAAAATAGACAGGTGACGTTTTGAGAAGCACTGACCTGAAGTATAAGCTCCAAATGACTGAGCCTAGCTAGTGCTGAAGGCTTTTCAACAACCTGGCCCCAGTCTGCCCCCGACTTATTTCTCACTACCTCTTACTTGTACATATTCCACACAAACTGTTCTCTCAATCTGCTTCCCAGTTTTTACTGCTTGGAATGCATGCCTTTTAACCAAAGCACTACTTATTTAGAATCTAAGGACACTGGCTGCTCTTGCAGAAGACCCAGGTTTGGTTCCCAACACCCATGGGGAGGCTAACAACTATCTCGAACTCTAGTTCCAGAGGATTCATTGCCCTCTTCTGGCCTCTGAGGGTTTTGTCACAGGAGTACACTTACATACATGCAGGCAAAACACTTATACACATAAAATAAGCCTAAGTAAATCCCCCCAATTTTCTTTTCTAGAATCTATTCAGACTTCCATATGATTTTACTCTCAAAACTTTGTCTCCTCTACCCAGCTGGAAATAAAACTTTGAGGGCCTATAACATCTTAATAGTATTTTTTGCCACACACTCTTTCCTAATTCGTATCTGACTTCTTGCCTATTACAGAAAAACTCTTAGCTATCTACAGATAGCTAGACCTCCCCAGGATGACTACCAAGTCTTGGCTTATTACTCAAGTACTCGTTAGTACTAGAAAATACATCAAATGGATCCACTGATGCACCTTCCTCCTATGTTACTCCCTCTACTACCTCTTAGCTTCATAGTGAATGATGGAAACTTCTAAAGGCATTCTATGATGGCTAAGCCTGTCAACTTACTTGGATCTAGGATCACTAACATACATACTTTTGGGTGGGTGGGTGAATGAGGGTATATCCTGGAACAATTAACTGAGAAGACTCTCTACTAAGTAAGCAACCATTTCCCAAAGCAGCCCAGATAAAAACAGGTCTAAAGGAAAACCAGTGCTGTTTTCACCTGCTCACCTTTGCCTCTTGCGAGTACATGCATCTACCCTGTTGTTACAACCTCTACCCCTCTGTCACTGACATCAAAACCAAGCTTTTTGGGCCTCTCAATGCAGTCTGACGATCAGAGAAATCTCCAAGAACCCTCTAGGCCTTCAGCACCAGACTTGGACTCCTGAGGCACCCAGCATCATGAACTAAGCAGTGCTACCAAGTTCTCAACTTCTCCAGCATGCAGCCAGCCACTCTTGAACTACCTAGCTTGTATCATGAAAGCAATCTGGTAAATTCCTTTTATAATACACATTCTTTCAGCTCTACTCCTCTAGAGAACAAATACACATTCTATGATGTGTGAGGTGTTTTGGGGGGAGAGCGGGGAAGGGGGTTTTAGAGACTGAAACACAAGAGTTTTTACATTTTAAGCACTCAGCAATATATACTACATATAAAATATATACTAGCCCACATTCTATGATAAACGGATTCTCACAGTAAAGACACTAGTTTTGTAAGCAGGAAAAAGAAAAAGAAAAACCCTGAGGTTGGAGAAGTGCCACCCTTTTCTTTCCAACAGACACTGCTCCCTTCACAAGCTCATCAGACTATGGAACTGCAGCCTCCATAGAATGCCCTGCTATCATTTCCTTAAAGAAACCAACCTCGGCCTGCCCAAGTCACATATCTACCCCAATACAGCATTCTGAAATCACCAGTGTCATTGCAGATCTTGTATGCTATATTCCCATGCCTTAATGACAAATAAGGCATTTAATCCCTTTAATCCCAGCACTTAGGAGGCAGAGGCAGGAGGATCTTGGTGAGATCACCGTGCCTGTTTCCAAAAAAACCAAAATACACACTCTCTCTCCTTAGCAAACAACTTCTAGTATACTATCTTTCAATTGAATGCTGCACAAAATGTGTGCTTAAGATGTCTGCAGGGCGGGGCTGGGGAGATGGCTCAGCAGTTAAGAGCACTGACTGCTCTTGCAGAGGACCCGGGTTCAATTCCCAGCACCCACATGGCGGCTACGAACCATCCTTAACTCCAGTTCCAGGGGAATCCAAAGCCCTGTTCTGACGTCCACGGCACTGCATGACATGGGTGCACTCACATACATGCTGGCAATACACTCGTACACATAAAATTAAAAAAATTTTTTTTTTAATTTTTTGTTTGTTTGTTTTGTTTTGTCTTTTTGAGACAGGGTTTCCCTATAGCCCCAGCTGTCCTGGAACTCACTATGTAGACCAGGCTGGCCTTGAACTCAAGAGATCCACCTGCCTCTGCCTCCCAAGTGCTGGGATTAAAGGGGTGCGCCACCACACCCGGCTATAAAATATTAAAAAAAAAAAAATGTCTGCAGGGAATAATTACAAGGAAATAGGATATGGTCATTTTAACTCTTACACTGTACTATTAACCTTCCATTTTAATGAATTTCAAATGCATTACTTGGATATACAAAAGCAGAAATGTATCAGAAGAGTACTACCTACCTGTGGGTTTTCCAAACGTTTTAAATATTCTTCAAATGACCCTTCTATGAACTGCAAGAAAAAAAAAATCTATTAGGGTGCTGGAGAGATGGCTCAGTACCACACCCAAAAATCTTTTTTTTAATTCTATTAGGAATGCTATCTAAGAAATAGATCACACAGGGGCTGGAGAGATGGCTCAGAGATTAAGAGCACTGGCTGCTCTTGCAGATGATCCAAATTGGATTCCCAGCACCCACACGGCAGCTAGCAACCTTCCATAACTCTAGTTCCAGGAGATCTGATGTCCTCTTGTAACCTCCCTGGGCACTGCATGACATGGGTACACTTACCTACTTGCAGGCAATACACAAATACACATAAAATAAAAACAATTAAAAAAAAAATGTTTTTGAACTCACTATGTAGACCAGGCTGGCCTCTAACTCACAGAGATCCGCTGGAACTACAGGCATGCGCCACCACACCCGGCAACAAAATTTTTTTTTTTTTAAATCTTTTAAACACCTATGGAATCTTTTTAGACTGAGGATAATTAAAAATTTAACTACCAAATTCCAAAACTGTCTTAAATTTCAACACATCACACATTTTAAGTACCCTACTAATCAGACGCAGCTTTTCCATGAGATTATTTATAGGCCACCACCACGACCCCACCCCACCCCTGGAAAAAAACCCAGGGAACCATTTAAATTGGGAATTTGTGGTATTCTAACAAACCTGCATCCAATCTGAGCCTCCTTTCCATTCTAAGCAGAAAGTGTTCATATAGATCATGCTGAACAGTGTAACAAGGTATATCCCTTCTCAGACACTCCTCTCTAATTCTGGTTCTTATGATATGAAAAATGGACCTTTTCCCACTGGAACGTTCATCTTCAGATCACATCTCCTAAGATTATATTGATTAAATATATGCAAGACACTTAAAACAATGCCTGGCGCACAGTTAGTATTCAATGCTAACAATGTATGATATCATCCATGCAGTTTTATCCCCCAAGGCCAACAGTGATTGGTCCATGGTAATGTCTCCGGATACTACAGAGTCCTTTTCCTCCCTTGCTCTTCATTACCCCGTCCTCAGCTACATTACAAGGTTTTTAAGACAAAGTTTCAAGCTACCTGATCAAGCAGGAAACTCTGCTTCCAGAATGTGTTACTACCCATCCTAAACGCCAGCACTCACAAATTCACTTTACTATTGGAATACAAACCAAGGAACTCACCAAGAATTCTTTGCCTGTGAACTCTTAACTGTGGGAAATACCACGGAAAGCTGTCAAGTTACAAAAACCCAGGTCCTAAAAAGAGTAACTCATAAATGCTATAATGCTTTAAAAATGGAAAGAGGGCTGGGCATGGCGGCACACGCCTTTAATCCCAGCACTTGGGAGGCAGAGGCAGGTGGATCTCTGGGAGATCCAGGCCAGCTGGGGCAACAGGGAAACCCTGTCTCAAAAAGATTAAAAAAAATGGAAATAGGTCACTGTGGTACTTTACTCCACAGCCTATTACTATGTCTACTGAGATGGTTACACTAACTTGCTATGTGACATTTTATTTACTATTAATCATCATTTACATAGAGTTCAGATGTATGACTCCATAATACATTCTAAAATCTAAAACTCTATTAAATGCCTTCTAATAAAACTAAAGATTCAACATTACTTATGCCGAACATGGTTTTTATACTCTGAATCCCAAACTTTTTCAATTCACAGGGAGTTAACAATCAGAAAATCCATTATTAATCTCAATTCTAACCACTCCCTGACCATGTCAAAGAAGCTCACTTAGTTTGTAAGGATCCTATCTAGGCCATCCCTCTATACTCAAAGTTCAGTGTCATTCGTATCAGCAAAGCTTTCTAAATGTACAGGTGACACAATCAGTCCAGAAAATAGCACAACTGGACTGGAGAGATGGCTCAGCAGTTAAGAGCATTGGCTGCTCTGGCAGAAGACACAGGTTCAGTTCCCAGCACCCACACGGCTGACAACCATCCTTAACTCCAGTTCCAGAGGATCCGACCCCTTCTTCTGACCTCCATGGGTATTGCAGGACACACGTGCACTTACATACATGCAGGCATTACACTCGTACAGATAAAATAAATAAACCTTTAAAAAAGAAAATAACACAACTGAGTATATTCAAATATAAGCTCAATAAAGAAAGTATTTTTTCAAGGTTTATTTCCATACCCTTGCATTAATATCCAACTTGTTACACTTAACTTTGGTATGTCTGCACAAGTCAGGATGGCAGAAAGACCCCATGAGGGAAGGGGAAAAGAACTTAAGGGGAAGGAAATAATGAAACATATGAATGATAAAATGTCAGTAATATGAAAGAAGAGAGGGAAAACTGAGGGTTAAAAGTTTAAGTGGGGATGGTGGCAAGGGGGTGGAAAGAGGAGGGGTGGGGAGCAGATTAAGAATGCACGAAAAGTCTTATGCAAACCCACTACTTTGGGGGTTTTTTTGATGTTTTTTTTTTAAATATTTTATTTATAATTGTTATTTTATGTGTGTGAGTGTATTGCCTGCATGTATGTTAGTGTACTCATGTTGTGCATTGCTGGTTGGGTCCCCTGGAACTGGAGTTAGAGACAGTTGTTAGCTGCCATGTGGGTGTTGGGATTCAAACCTGGGTCTTCTGCAAGAACAATCGGTGTTCTTAACCACTGAGCCATCTCTCCAGCCCCGGAAACCCACTACTTTGTAAGGTAATTAAAAAACATTTTTTTTAAAGATGGAGATGAGTCAGAGGTTAAGAGCACTGGCTGCTCTTGCAGGGGACCCAGTTTTGATTCCCAGCACCCACATGGTGGTGAACAACCATCTATAACTCCA